GCACAGCCGCAAAGGTGCCCACCATGGGCACAGTGCTGTGCCAGGGGCAAGGGGCAGCCTCAGTGCTCACTTTTCCCCTCACAGCAAGGGGCTGGAAGTGTCCAGAGACAGGAATGGGGCTGGGGAAGGGTCTGGAGCTCCAGGAGAGGCTGAGGGAGCTGGGGGGGCTCAGCCTGGAGCAAAGGAGGCTCAGGGGGCCCTTGTGGCTCTGCACAGCTCCTGACAGGAGGGGACAGCCCAGGGAACAGGGACAGGAGGGAGGGAACGGCCTCAGGCTGGGCCAGGGGAGTTTAGGTTGGAAATTAGGAAAATTCCTTCACTCACTGAAAGGTTTGTGAAGCACTGGAACAGACTACCCAGGGTAGGAGCGGAGTCACCACCCACAAAGTGTTCAAAGAAGTGTGAAAGTGGCACTTGGGGACATGGGCTGGTGTGAACATGGTGGTGCTGCTGGCTGATGGTCAGTGGTGATCTGAAAGGACTTTTCCCACCTGAATGCTGCTGTGATCCCGTGGGTCTGAGCTGCTGGGATGGGAGCCAGAGCTGAGCCCGCTCCTCCTGACGTGCAGGGGCAGGTGCTGGGCTCTGCTGCCAAATGCTGGGCAGGGGCAGCACAGAGCCAGGTCCTGCTCTAAGCACAGCCTGGCTGCCTGCTCCTGCCCTCAGCCTGTTCTGATCCCTCTCTGATCCTGCCAGATGGGGTTGGAGGCACCGAGCCGGGCAAAGGCCCCTGCAGTGCAAATATTTGCTTCCTGCCACCCATCTCACCACTTTTCTCTTTTATTTCCTTTCACAAGCACCTTTTGTGCTGCAAGTCCTGCCTGCTGCAGTCCTCCCAGGCACTCCCTGGGCTCTGGCACATTTTGGGTGTCAGAGTTGTTCCCTTGGGAGCACTGGGGCAGAGGGGATGGCTCCAGGAGCTGGAGTGGGGAATTCCCTGGCATGGAAGGAATCCTCCCTCCTTGCTCTTTTGCTTTACTCTTGGTTTATTAATCTCATGACAGTTCCCAGTCCCCAGTTCTGCTATTTGCACCTTTTTTAATTCAGAAAGGGGAAGCAGAGGGTGGTGATTTGACCATTCCATACCCTCTCTGCTCACATCTTGTCCATCAGCTGTGTCCAAGCCCCCCAAGGAAGGGCTGAACCAGGGGAGTACCAAATGATTTGGACTCATTTTTGAGCTGGGAGAATGCTGCCAGCTCCAGAGCCTTGTTGCTGGTAGCTTTCTGTGTGGTGGGGACAGGACAGATGCCACTGCTGGGGATTCTCCTGCCTCCATCCCTGCTGAGTCCCTTTTGCAGTGTGCCTCTGGCACTTTTCCTGCCATGTTACATTTGTCCCCCTTCAAATCCTGCCTGACCTCAGGGAAAATCCAGCTGTGAGTTCTCTGATCCCACGTTCTGCCCTGAAGGCAGCAGTAATTGTTTTGGACTGCACTGTAGGGCCCTGTGGAGCCATGCACAGGTCTGGGGGTGTCCCACCTGCTCCCCAGGAAGTGTCAGTGTGTGATGGGACAAACCCCTGCATCTGGCACACGCTGTGTTCACCAGACTTTCCTCCCTCTCTCCCTCCCAAATCCTTTCCTCCCTAATCTCTGTGAAGGGATTTGCTTTATGCAGAAGCAGCAGCAGACAGAGTGGCTTGGCAGAGGTCCCCAGGGATGGCAGAGGGTCAGGGGGGCAGCAGGATTGAGCCCCTCCTTGGCTGCAGAGCCCATCCCTGGGAGGAGCTGCTCCATTAATATCTCCCATTCATCCCTCTCCTGTAATCCTGGCGCTCAGCAGCTGCCTCTGATGTCACCCAGCCAGGATTTATGGCTGCTTCAGGTGGAGAGCGGCCCTGGGAGCAGATGAAATCTTAGGCCAGGAGGAGCTTGTTCCCTGAGCAAATTGCTTGGAGAAAATCCGAGGAGACAGATGCAGCTCTGTCAGATCCCCACACGGCAGCCTTGGGGATCCCTGCTGCCCTTAACCCCCTCCTGCCCAGGCTGCAGGCACAGGGAGCACTCAGAGCTGTTCCTGCACCTTTAATCTTGGCCTTTATGGGCTGGGACAGAGATTGTGCTGCTGCTTCCCAGCTGTGTCCCCTTTTCCTGGTTTTGGGGAATGTTGAGGCACCCTGAGCTCAACCTTGCTGTGGTTATGGTGTGCAAAGTGCTGTGCAGGTGTGGAGCCCTCTGGGGGTGCTGTACAGGGTGCCACAGCTGCTCCTTCACTCCTCTGGGTTCTTCCTGCAGCCTTCAGCTCCTTGTACAGTCTGGGCTGTGCCATGGATCTGCTCCTGGCCTCCCCTGTGCCCTTGGGTGGGCAGGAGCATCCCCAGGGCCGAGGTTCATTCACACACACACATACACACAAGTCTGTGCCATTCCCAGAGTGACCCCAGCCCTGGGGGACAGATTCCCACCTGCCTGTGGTGCCCTCAGAGCTCTGCCAGCTGTGCCAGTGCTCCTGGGTGTCCCTCCTCCCTGCCCCCCTTTGCAGGGTCCCCCTGGCCGTAACTCAGTGTCCCCCAACTCTGGCCATCCCTCTATAGCCCTCTCCCCCTGTGGGGCTGGAGAAACACCAAGTCTCAGCCTTGCCCCCTCCCACCAGCCTTGGCCCCAGCCCCAGGAGCCTCCCCATCGCAGAGGAATCCACACTCCCCACCTGGGGATAATTAGCAGGCATGTTGCAACTCCCCACAGTGGATTCTGCTGCTCCCCGTGCCTTGAGGCTCCTTCAGGTGTTGTGGGAGCTGCAGAACCTGTTCAGAATGTTTGTGAGCCCAGGAGCCCTCAGGGACAGCGGTGGATGTGTGGTGGGGGTGATGCAGGATCTGCTTTTCATCTCCTTTTTGTGTCTCTCCCCACAGGGAAGAATCTCTACACAAATGAATACGTAGCTATCAAATTGGTGAGTGGCTGTCAAAGCAGGGAGTTCCTCCGTGGTGGGGTGGGGGATGTTCCAGCCATTGGGAAGGAGCTTCTCCCCTTTCTCCCATGGTGCTGGGCTGGGATGTGGTGGCTGGGTGGCTGTGGGAGAGCTCTGTTCCTGCTCAGCATTGAGGGCACTCTGGGAGCACACATCCCTGCAGGTGGGGTTATCCAGGGCTGGGCAGGGAAGAGCTGAGTCTGCCTCTCCCTGCCCTCAGCGTGGCCTGTGCTGTGCTCAGGCAGTGCCAGCAGCACAGAGGGTGGCCCCACTGGTACCTGATCCCATTAATGTTTTCCCTCTCTGGATGAGATGATCTGGCTCCCACATGGGCTGATTTTCTCTCATCATCCCCCGAGGCTTCATCTCCATTTTATACCACTTACTCCCAACCCCAAAAGCTCTCAGTCCAGCTCCTGCCAGCATGTGAAAGATGTGTCTGACACCCAGACCCCCTGAACATCCTGCTTCCTACATAACTGTTCTCCTTTCTCTCCTCCAAGGAACCCATAAAATCCCGGGCCCCCCAGCTGCACCTGGAGTATCGGTTCTACAAACAGCTCGGCAATGCAGGTACGGGCTGGGCTGGCCTGGGGGGCTGCTGGGAGAGAGGCTTTCCCTAAATGTGACTCTGCAGCTTCACCCCCAGCTGGAGCTCCTGCCCATCTGCTCCACAGGGTTTCACACAGATGCCTTGTCTCATCTTTGATCTCTTTGGATTTAGTTATTTCCCCCCACCACCCCCTCAGCAGAGTCAGGGGTGCAGATGGAGCTGCTCTGAGCAGAGCCAGGCTGGCAGTGCAGGGACATCCAGCCCTGCAGTGGCATGGCTGTGACAGCCTGGCCCTGCTGCAGCCCTGCACAGCCCCTGCTCCGTCTCTTGCAGAAGGAATTCCTCAGGTTTACTACTTTGGCCCCTGTGGGAAGTACAACGCCATGGTGTTGGAGCTGCTCGGACCCAGCCTGGAAGATCTCTTTGATCTGTGTGATCGAACCTTCACGCTCAAAACTGTGCTGATGATTGCCATCCAGCTGGTGAGTGCAGCCCTGCACTGCTCCCCTGCAGCCCTGCACGGCTGCCCTGGGGAGCAGGGGGTGTGTGGGCACCGTGGGCAGGCAGCACGGGCATCCCATGGGGAATAAGGGGAAGATGCTGGCACAACCCAACCTGGCTCACCTGGTCCCTGCTGAGGGAGAGCTCTCCACCCTTCTCAGCCCCTCTCTGAGCCTTGACAAGCCTCTCAGTGTGCCCAGAGCATCTCAGTGTAGGCCTGTGACCGTGTTCACAGGGGTCTGAGAATGAGGGAAGGGATGAGGATCTGACTCCATGTTTCAGAAGGCTTGATTTATTATTTTATGATATATATTATATTAAAACTCTACTAAAAAAATAGAAGAAAGGATTTTATCAGAAGGCTAGCTAAGAATAGCAAAAGAAGGAATGAATAACAAAGGTTGTGTCTCAGACAGAAAGTCTCAGCCAGCTGACTGTGATTGGCCATTAATTAGAAACAACTCTATGAAACCAATTACAGATCCACCTGTTGCATTCCACAGCAGCAGATAACCATTGTTTATATTTTGTTTTTGAGGCTTTTCAGGAGGAAAAATCCTAAGGAAAGGATTTTTCATAAAAGATGTCTGTGCCATGTGCCCAGGGTGCAGCTGGCCAGGGCTGTGTCCCATGGTGGGAAGGAGCTGATGTGCCCATCCTTGGCTGAGGGGAGCAGGGGAGAGGTGCCCAGGGCAGGGGTGTGCAGGACACAGGGTGGAGGCTCTGCCCTGGCACTGACACCTCCTTGTGCCCCAGATCACACGGATGGAGTATGTGCACACCAAAAGCCTGATCTACAGAGATGTGAAGCCAGAGAACTTCCTGGTGGGGCGGCCGGGCAGCAAGCGGCAGCACACCATCCACATCATCGATTTTGGCCTGGCCAAAGAGTACATCGACCCCGAGACCAAAAAACACATCCCCTACCGAGAGCACAAGAGCCTGACAGGGACGGCACGTTACATGAGCATCAACACCCACCTGGGGAAAGGTGTGTGGCACAGGCAGCCCTGCCTCCTGCGGAAGGGAGGGACTGCAGGGCAGGGGTGCCAGGGGTGGGGATGGGCACACGCTGTCTCTCCTGCTCTGCAGGATCTGGGGGCTGGACAGGGACAGTGGCTGTAGTGGGAACTGACCCTTGTCTCTTTCTCCATGCAGAACAAAGCCGCAGGGACGACCTGGAAGCATTAGGGCACATGTTTATGTACTTCCTCCGTGGGAGCCTTCCTTGGCAAGGCCTCAAGGTAACTGCCAGCTCCTGCTGCCCCTGGGCATGGCTTCCTGTGGGTGTGGCTGTGCCCTGGCATGGGGAGGGGGAAGGTTTGGCCCCTGGGGTGTTGGAGGGTTGGCACCCTGCCAGCTCTGAGCTCCATGCCAGGCCCTTGCAGTGCTGTGCAGTCTCCCTGTGTCCCCCCAGCTGCTCTCACAGTGGCTGTCCTGGAGACCCTGGGTTTGTCCTGCAGACCTGCCCAGGGAGGGAAGGAGTTACCTGGGAAAGGGGGCCCAAAACATCACAGATGGTGTGACAGCCCAGGGCAGTGCTGGCCCCTGTGCTGACCCCCCTTGTCCCCACCAGGCTGACACACTAAAGGAGAGGTACCAGAAGATCGGTGACACCAAAAGAGCCACCCCAGTGGAGGTGCTCTGTGAGAACTTCCCAGGTGAGAGCTGTGCCCTGCCCAGCCCCTGCCCTTTGCCCCTGTGCTGTTCCCTGAGCCCCCCTGAGCCCCCTGTCCCCACAGAGGAGATGGCCACGTACCTGCGCTACGTGCGGCGCCTGGATTTCTTCGAGAAGCCCGACTACGACTACCTGAGGAAGCTCTTCACAGACTTGTTCGAGAGGAACGGTTACGTGTTCGACTACGAATACGACTGGGCAGGGAAACCTCTGGTGAGTGAGAGCCCAGGGCCTGGGGCACAGGGACAGCAGCCAGGGAGGAGGTGGCACTCAGCCATCCCTGCCACACACTGTGTCCAGGGGACCAGCTCCATCCTCCTCACCAGTCACAGCTCCAGGGCTGTGACACGGGAATTGGAGGCTCTGAGCTCTTTCACTGCCATAAGTGCATTCCTTGGGCTCACTGCACCCGGATACCAAGCATGGCACTGCTGGGGCAGGGGCAGGGTAGGGGCAGTGATAAGACCCTGCTTCTGGGGGTTTTGCATGTTGGATCTGGCTGTGGGGTGCTGGGAGGGCTCTGTGCTGCACTGACATTGTCCTTTGTGTCCCCAGCCCACCCCCATTGGCACGATGCACAGCGAGGTGCAGGTGCAGCCCCCGAACAGAGACAAAGCACAGCCACACACCAAACACCAGGTGAGCAATGGCACAGCCTGCCTGGGGCAGGGGGCCATGGGCTGGGCAGCTCCAGGGACGTGGAGCCCAGCAGGGACTGGGACGTGGCTTTCCCTCAGTGCTGTCTGTGGGAGGAGTTCCTCCCACAGCTCGGGGTCTGTGGCTCACCGGGCCCAGGGCAATGTCCCTGTGGCCTGGCAGGACAGGGAGGAGGCACTGTGGGGGCTGCAGTGTGGCTGGGGGGTGCCAGGCCTGGATATCAGCTGGGGAGGGTCAGGGTCCAGCCTGGGCTGTGGGCAGGGCTTGGTGCAGGCTGAGCCACCTCTGCTCGCTGTCCCCACGGGGTGACTCGCTGCTCTGCTTGTGATGCCCTTCCATCGATGGGACAGTGACATGGCACAAGGGAGGGCAGGACTGGGGGGCAGCTTGGCAGCATTTTGCCCCATGCTGGGGCTGCCTTTGTTCTGGGAACGGGCAGGGCACAGGGTGCCCAGCCTGGGGCAGGGATCAGTGTGGGAAAGGGACCAGGGGCTCAGAGCTGCTCCAGTGCTGTGGCCTGTCCTGCCCTGGTGCAGGACACGAGTCTCTGGCACTGCTGCCACCGAGAGCAAACCTCATGTGTTTCCAGCAGTCCTGTACAAACCCTTGTCCTCCCAAACCTCCTTGGGGCCAGAGCACCTGCAAAGGGGCTGGAGCAGGGGGTGCAGCACTCTGTGCTACCCACACTGCTCCTGCCCAGCACAGGGAGCCTGGCAGAGCTTCCTTAGGGAGAGGAAAATGTCAAATCAATCACCTCTGGCTCATTTCTGGGAGCTCACTCCCAGCAAGGTCTGCTCTGCCCCCACACCAGGAAAGTGCCATGCTGGACATCCCTCTCCAGAGCAGGGGGAAGAGCAAAGCACAGAGCTCCTGGAGCACGGGAGCAGTGTCCAGCCTGGGGACACAGGGTGTCCCAGCCCAGCCTGGGGACACAGGGTGTCCCCACAGCTCTGGGGCCGTGCTGTGCTCACTCAGGGAGGGTTTGGCCCAGCTGGTGCCACTCAGGCCCTGCTGAGCCCGAGCCCTGCGTCGTCCTGGGGATGCGGCGTCACCTGGGCCTGGCGGCAGCTCCGGCTCTGCTGCCCCAGCCCATTCCCAAACACGGCCCCAGCCCTGCTGGAGCTGGCCCTGCTCCAGGGGCTGGCCCTGGGGTGTGTGTGTGGGTGGCAGGGGGACACAGACCCCCGTTGTCACCGCAGGGACGGTGCTGCACGGTGCCCTCCGCAATCACCAACTCGAGCTGCTCCGGTCATGTTTTTGCTTTTGCATGTCTTATTTTCTCGACTCCCTTTGCCACTTTTCCCACCCCTTCCCTCCATGTCTCCCTTCTCTTCCCCATTCTCCCTCTTTTTCTTTTGTTTCTTTTCATTCTGTTCCTCCTGCCTGTCGCGAGCAGCCGCCCGAGGGGACGGAGGTGTGGGATCCTCAGGCCGGTGGGCAGCCTGCCGAGGAGCCT